ACCAGGTTACAAGTGTTTTGCCCAAGGACACAAAGACAGTGGCAGATTGAGCTGGGCTCGAACCTGCAACCTTCCGATTACGGGGCGATCACTGAACTCCTGCACCGTCGTCCACATATATTTTTAAATGTTGCTAAATCTGTCCTTTAATCAGTTGTCATAATTCCTATTAGTGGCTGTTTGTTGCAAGGAGAATATAAAATCAGAAATATTTATCTAAGTACCATTTTACAGCATCTTGGAGACAATTTGAGTAGGGAGATATTTTTAGACACATCACAGATATCATTCATATCAATGCTGTAGATATGTGGGGCAGATAAAGCTGACCATTTTCTGAGACTAAGCACATGAAACAAGCCCTGATGATTTATTTATCATTAATGTTGTCTTTGGGAAAAGTGAATGGAAACCTCAAGTACTCTAGAGGCATTATTTAATTTTATTCACATTTGCACAGTTAACAACATAACATGCATGGCACAAATTCTGTTTATTTGGTTTCCAAAACATTGACTCTGTCTTTCCCCGAACTGTTGAGTCATTCTTTCTTCTCCTCGTTTATTTGTCTGAGAAAGAAGGCTGGCTGGGTGCAGCAGCGATAGCACAGGATATGTGGCAACAGAGTGTATAGGACATTAACCAGCAAGAAGACAGGTTGGCTGGCAGCTGGTACTCTGTAGGAGAACGGTGTCCGTGTGTGCAGAGATGCACCAATATGAGTGAACTGGGCCTGTGAGATGGAGCAGAAAGGATGATAGTGATGCACAAACAGAAACATTGATACAAACTCATAATTACCATTATGCTGCAACCTCTTTAATGAAGCCTTGAAAAATATTTAATCTTTCCTATTTCCTCTTGGAGAAGAAAGAGGAAGAGTAGAACGAGAAGAAGGGACTGGATTTCTAAACTTAAAAGAGTTTCTTAATGAACACATCCTCTACATTCTTCAAAACACTGTTTTGTAGTATTGAAAGAACTGGGAATCTGCGCCCTCTGCTGGCAAAAAAAAAGAACAACACATTGGTTTCCAACAGCATTGAGAAAAGAAGGGAAGATGGGGAGTTGCTGCTCTCTAGTGTCTGAAATCTAGTACTACACTGTTGTTCTTTATAGCCATTTAGAAGAGAATATTTTGGCCTCCTTGTCTTAAGGGAGACTTAAGCAGTTTTTGGCTTGCTTTTAGCACATCAGTGTCTGTTTGTAGAACCAAATGCAAATCTCATCTGTTCGCTATGCTTTCGTCTTTTTAACACCTTAATCTAACAGCTGAAACGTCTCCCCACTCTTTGCTGGAAGCAGACTGCAGTGCCAGGCATGTCAGCTAATTTTTCCAGGTCCCAAAAGACCAGATAGGCAACTCTGAAGTTGCAAGTGGAATATTCTGGCCACAAGAGGCAATATCTGGGTAGCCTTTCATCAACCCTGTAAAGGGACGTTTTAGCACATACTGGCTCAAGAAAATCATTTAAATTTTAGGAAAACGTTGCAAAGTATCCCTTTAATAAAGCTTTAAAAAATCTGGAGGAGTAGAAATAGAAGGAGGAACTGGATTTATAAAGTTAAAATAATTACTTGGTAGGAATGCGTCCTCCAAATTCTTTCAAACACTGTTTTGTTGCCTTGAAAGATTTAGGAATTTGCGCCGTCTGCTGGCGAAAAAAAGCAAGTGGTGCACTCTGGTTTCCAATAGCATTTAGAAAAGAAGAAGAAAATATAATTTCTATAGTGCCTCTCAAGATAAAAATCACTAGGCGCTTCACAAAAACAAAAGATGTAAAAATATAAAAAAGCATTTAGAAAATGTTTAAAAATATATTTTAAATGAGCAAAATTAGGCAATTGTGATTTAAAAAATGTTAAGAAAGAGAGAGAGTAAATAGGAAAGAGGGAAATCAGTGGATCATGAGGAAGGTGTAATAGGTGGGGAGAGCAGAATAAAGAGAGAGTGGTGAAGAAGGTCATCCAAAAGCCAGCTTGAACAAGTGAGTCTTCAGCTGCTTTTTAAAGGAGACCACTGAGTCCACTGATCTCAGGCTCAGGGGAAGAGAGTTCCAGAGTCTGGGGGCCACAGCAGCAAATGATCTGTCACCTTTGTTATTCAGCCTGGTGCGCTGCACAACCAGTAGGCTTTGATCACTGGACCTCAGGGACCTGATGGGGGTGTAGGGACTAAGAAGATCACCAATGTAAGATGGTGCTTGTCCATGTAAGGCCCTATAGACCAGAACCAGGATCTTGAAATGAACCCTGAAGTTGAAAAGAAGCGAAGATGGGGAGTTGCTGCTCTCTAGAGCCTGAAAGCTACTACACTTTTCTACTTTTAGCCATTTAGGAGAGAATATTTTAGCCTCGTTATCTTAATGAAGCTTTAAAAAAATCATATTTACTTTTGTCATCTTGGGAATTATTAGTAAGGAGGATGAGCAGCAAGAGAAGAAAGAACTAGATTTATGAAGCTAAAAGTTGCTTAGCAGGAACACTTCCTCTAAATTCTTCCTGCTTTGAAAGAACGAGGAATTAGTGCCCTCTGCTGGAAGAAAAACTGAACAACATTTTCTTTTCCAATAGCGTTTAGAAAAGCACGGAAGATGTGGAGTTGCTGCTCTCCAGTGTCTGACAGCTGGTACTACAATTGTCATTTTATCAGTCATTTAGAGAATATTTTAGCCTCCTTATCTTAAATGGCTGTATGCTGATACTACCTGAACAACAACTGAAATGGTGCATCTAATTTTTATTTACTATGTACAAAGATTAAGCATTTTTACAAAAATTTGCATTTTTTTCTGTGATATTACTGTAATAATAATAATACAAGTTTTTTTTTTAAATCACACAAGTGTTTTGTGTGGTGTTTCTCAAGGATTTTCATTCATAAAATACATGAGTCTTATCAACACAAAGCATACTGATAATGAGATGAAATGGAAAACTTATCTTTATGTTTCATAATTTTAAATAAAAAGCAGTGTATTCTAAAGTGGACAGATCACACAGAGGGCAATGTACACAAGAGAAAAGCAACAGTATGATGTTATGAGACTTTAATAATAAGTAAATAGATTTTTTAATGACAAAAAATATATATTTCTAACATTAACTTGTCTTTCAAAGATTTACATTATTAAACCTCTCGGGGGTGGGGGTGGGGTGGGGTGGGGGGGGGGTTCCACAGAGGAACAAAGCAACACAGACTACCAGGGCTTCCGCTCCCCTATTAATAGCCTGGCTAAACAGCTGACATTTAAGTGAATACCACCAATACCACCATTCCTCTGTGTCTGAAGTCACCTTCCACCCTTAGCCCCACAGATGAGTGACACACCAGTGTACCACTCAAACACAATAGCTGCTTTTTATAGCAGAGATGAGATTGGATAGCTAGCTGCTCGCGCCAATCTTCATAGTTTCCATTTTTAGATCTAAATAGATGTCTCTATCATGCACAGCAGGATAAACTAAAAAGTTTCATACAGCAAAAAAAAACCTCTAAGAATAAACATGGCTTTTCCACATGTCTGGTCTTCTATCTATGTTTAATCTGTAATGAGGTTAAAAACTAAAAGATTTTGCACAGAATTCGTTTTATAGTTCAACAATATTATGTGTGTGTACACACACACACACACACACACATATATATATATATATATATATATATATATATATATATATATATATATATATATAAGAAACTTTTGAAAAGCACACATATTCTACTTTCAGCTTCTCCATTAGGGACCCCCTCCTCATTCACTAATGTTGCTGACAGAGAAATAAAATAACACACCTCTGATCAGTCAGCTGTGTGCTGAAGTTTTGAGTGTTGAGTTTAATTCCAATTTAATCTCTAGATTTTGGCCCTCCTCCTCAAAAAGACACAATTCTGACTATTGTTTTAGAGCACAGGAGTTCATCAAGGATGTGTACTCAGTCCTTTTTCTGCTGATACAAAACATTACTGCTACATTCAGCATAAATCAAGTTCGATGACACAATGGAAGTGGCTTTGGATGGATGAGTGTCACAGTGAGGGGCAGTGACAGAGATGTTTGTTGGTCCAGGAAGGCATTGGGGGAAAAGTGCTGGGAGCCGTCAGAAAAGGGAAAGTGATGTGTCGGAGTTTTTATTCTTACTTGACACCATCCACCTGGGATATTATCACTAGCCGCTGAAGGTAAAGTGACTCAGTCAACACTGCACATTTGTGATTATTAGTTGAGGGCATTTGCATTACAGCAAGTCTCATCATAAACATATGACCAAGAAAAGCTCAGTAGGGTATTTACTACCGAAGACAGAACTGAGTGAGAACTGCTCCTCTCTCCGCCTCACCCTTTACTAAAGGGCCAAAACTGAATAGTACTGTATATGCAGAAAAATCAAGCTTTTATTATAGATAATCTTATATAGTGTAGAGTGGGGTAGGAATAACTAGTCTGTACCTGTGCTACTGCTCCTGAGTGAACAACAGTCAGCTCCGGCATCCATTTGCATCCAGGAACCAACAGCCCATACAGAGTGACTATGTAGTATGGTCCAGAATACAGCATGCTCACGAGCATCTGATACACACAGGTGCAGTTTAATACATTAAAAATTATACTAACGACACTGTCCAGGTGATGTTCTGTCACTTGGTTACCTGAACTTTGGGATAGGCCGAGGGGTCTTTCAGGTAAGGCTCATACTGTCGTGCGTAGTCCTGGCACCATTTGCTTGAACAATCAAGAGCAACCTCAAACACATACAAAAGAATTTAATAGATGAAACACAGTAGATTTTTTTGTACTATGTCATGTAATTGTTCCTACCAGTCCCCTAAAGACACAAAATGTCAAAGCCAGAATGAGGTAGATGACAAACAGCAAATCCAGAGGTCTGTGGAACAAGTTTGTCCTTTTTGCTTCTTGGATTTTCTGAAAAATAACAGCAACAACAAAGGCCTTCATCTTTTTGTGCACCCTAATATTCCCTTGAAGTTTAAAGTGCTTCAAAGACGTTACTGCGCAAAGCCAAACTAGCAAATCTTCTTTTCACCAAAGTCCAATCGCTCCTAGCACAGATCGAGGGAAGATCATCCGTTCTCAGCTCCAACGCTCCAGAGTGAGTTGCCTTTGAGCGTTAGGCAGGCGTCATCCCTTCTGGTTGCTTGAAGACTCGTTTTTATGTGATGGCGTTTCAGCATTAGGGATCACAACACTGCCTTGATCTTTTACTGATTGATAATTTTTTTTACCTCATTAATGTGTTTTTATGATCATTTCCTGTTTTTACTTGACTTTCTCTTGATGTTTTATGATTTTTTTTAACTTATCTTTATTTTAAAGCTCCACAACACTGTATTTGTTCTTATTGTGTGTTCTGTGGTTGTGTTCAGCACCTTGGTCTGCTGATAAGGTCATAGAAGGTGCTTTTTGGTTGTACTACTGCTACTAGTAGTTGTAGTACTAGTGGTATGTGTATTTATTTCTATAAAACACAAGGACTGAACGACCAAGTTAGGATTTGTTTTCTTTACATGTTAATTTGAATAATTCTAATGTTTTAGACAGAAACAATCTCTTGTGCAGAACCAAGGACCAGAAGCTCCATATGTGATTTCTTTTATGTAGTAAAGGCTATCTGCTAGGTATAGAATTTAGTATAACAAAGTGTCGTATTGTATTTAGTCATCTCTTGAAGAGAAGAGTTGCTTACTGTTATCGGAACATCACATGTAGAGGGTTGTCTGAAGACCTGGATGCAAGCCCACACGGACACTGAGACATGAAGCATGTGAAGGACGAAGAGAAAACTTACTTGGGTTCCATATTTTCCTAAAAAAAAAAGCAAAACATACTAAAATATCTTATTTAGTTCACGCTCAGCTAACACACTTGAGCTAACATTTTATTTTCTGAGGATTAATGGTCATCATGGACTATTGAAGACAAGTTACTTACCCACAGCGTTCCCAAGAATGTAGACTATGGTGCGCATGACAAAAGATCCTACCCAGTACAGCCCAATTGTCCGATAACTGTCCCTGTGCAAGTAATAAAACACAGCCACTGCAAAACCAGAAATAAAATGACATATAAATAGAAAAGTAGAGAGAAAAAACTGGCCTTACCCCCAAGTGATTGCAGCAATCATGAGCAGATACATGAGGTAATGTGCACAACCATCCCAATAGGAGAGCATATGACCATGCGCTGTATTAATGTGTGGGTCTCCCTGGAGTCGAAGTAGATCTATTAGAAACATATTTGCTGGGACAATTTTAGGCCTAACACACAATTAACACTTGCCTCTTTTAGGTAAAAAGTCACAAATCCATCAATGATGTTGTCCTGCTCCAGTCCAATGATCAGGTTCACAACACTGAGGAAAGCATAAACTGCATACACTGCATACAAATGCATGCACACTTTTAGGTTTTCTCTTACATTCATGACGTTTTTTTTTTTTTTACTTGATACCAAAAAGATGTAGCTTGTTTTGGACAGATACTTGTGTTTCAAATAGAAAATTCCTACCATAGAAAAGTGGATCAACTGGAGCTTTCTTCTTGAGCATAAAACGGACTGAAATAGCCAGAATCACAACTGCCGTGCTCCCAGCAAAGAGAAAAGCTTCAGCACTGGATGCAACATAAGAACACCATGTTTTTCTACCCAATGGGCTAAAAATAATCAAGAAATGTTTGGCTACATCTAATAATATTGGTTTGTATCACCACAGAAAGTTAAATTTACAACATGAAAAAAATTGTTTACAAGCACTTACCTGTTGTTGTAAACTAGAGAGTTGAATAAATAGCAGAAGGGTATGGACATCAGGGACAGCATGAACACCCCTGTCCCAGCAGAAGCGCTCATTGCTGCCCAGTGGGGTCGAGCTTAAGACGGTGAAGAATTTAGAATAAATCGACTCCTGATTTAGTTTGTGTCATAAGTTAGGGGATGTTTGGAGAGTGCTGGAGCAGCAGGCATGCTCGGTTCGTCCGTCTGGTCTGTCTGGATTAATGAATCTACTTTTAACCCTCTGGAGGCAGGCGTTGCAGGTTTGCAACAGTTAAAACTACCTACCTGGTTACTCCACATACGTATTTCAGGAGCATTTTTTTTAACTCATATGTGAAGGACTTACTTGTTCGTCCATTTATCAAAACTTATTTTGAGCCTGAGAGGATTAACTTCCTCCCAACGCGCGCGCACAGCTGCTCACATTCATGAGCAGACAAGAATGTTCCAGATTTTCTTTATTACACTGTCTAGCCAAATAGCCTAAGTGACAATTAAACTCAATATTTTTAATGTTTTGGTTTTGACAAAGATATTCAAGTAAAACAAACTCCTTACATCTAGAGGGCAAATGGAAAAACTGAAACTGGGTGCAGAAAGATAATTTGGAGCATGAAGCTGCTTCAATAAATTAAATAAATATATTTTGAAATAATAATAATAAATAAACTTTACAGAGAGAGAGAGAGAGAGAGAGAGAGAGAGAGAGAGAGAGAGAGAGAGAGAGAGAGAGAGAGAGAGAGAGAGAGAGAGAGAGAGAGAGATTGTGTCTAAAAGAAAAAATATGACTATGTGCAGCATCCCATATCATATCTCTCTTTTTTTCTAACTTGTTCTTTGCATTCTTAATTTTGCGCTGACCTCTTATACCAAATCAAAGAGTGTTACTGGTTCTAAGCATAGACTGTACATACGGTTCTAAGAAAGTTTTCTAGTTTTTACTTGGTTTCAAGGACAAAAACTGCAATGGCCATCTAAAGTCAAAGGGTGGCGGTAGTGCAACTAAAGGCTTACAGACTGCCGTAAAACACCAAAGAAGAAGAAGTGTTTCGAGGAAGTACGTTTGGGTTTTGTTAGCAAGCCGCAGCTGTAGCCTCGTGATGGATAATACGTAAATAAATAATGATGCACCCATGCGGTCGATTCCCGGTCATGTAACAAAAGCGGGATTTTTTTGTACTAACATTTGTATATTAGTTTGTGTGTTGTAATGGCCAGCGGGAGTGGTAGCGGATTGGCGTCAAACCAAAACAGCCAAGAGGCTGCATCAAACTCGTCTCAGTGTGGAGCCGTGGCGTCGTTGTCTAACATACCAGTGTCCGCTCCCGGACCGTCCGCCTCCCCGCCTGTCCTCGGCCTTCACCGGGAGCCCATGTACAACTGGCAGGCGACCAAGAGTTCACTGAAAGAGCGCTTCGCCTTCCTCTTCAACAACGAGCTGCTCAGCGACGTCAGGTTCATAGTGGGGAAAGGCAGACAGGCCCAGAGGATACCGGCTCATAAATTCGTCCTGGCCGCAGGCAGCGCCGTCTTTGATGCCATGTTCAACGGAGGAATGGCCACGACCTCGACTGAAATAGAGCTCCCAGATGTGGAGCCAGCAGCCTTCCTCTCCTTGCTCAGGTACTTCGGACAGGTGTATGTACTCTAAATACATGCAACTTCAGGTTGTCACACAACACTGTTCTCATTATTTTACTCAGTGGGCTTGTGGTTTTTACATTTTTAACTGTGGCAAATACTTCAATTAGAAAAACATTGCACATTTGGTGTGATAATCCCCTATAACATTTGCATTGTAAGAGTAGCTCATTATTTCCTTTAAATCAGTTTTTAATGGATCTGTCCAGTCGTCACACCTGATCAGTCAGTGGAATAAAGAGTTATGATGGTCAGTCATTTAATATGGACTCAAGTTATTCAGCACAAAACCCTAACTCAAGGGATGAACTGGTGTTGCATCCTTTCATAACAAGAACTAGCTTGTTACAAAGACACGTCTTTGTGTGGCTTTAATTAGAGAGCCACACAAATAAAATCCTTTTGGATGTGTTTTTAAATGTTTTATTATTATTATTAATTCTCTAAGGACATCTTTCAAGTTTTTATTGAAGTTCTATTAAAAAATATCTCAAAAACCTCATTTAAGGTTTCTTCCTGTTAAAAGGGAGTTTTCCTTAGTATGAGGATTGCTGTAAAGTCACTGACATCGGTCAGTGACTTGATGCAATTTGCTGGGTTCCTTTTATAGGAAACTTTTTACTGATTGGCTTAATGAACTGACCTCTATGGGAATGTTTATTGTGTGAAGTGCCTTGAGACAACTCTTGTCGTGATTTGGCGCTATATAAATAAACTTGAATTGAATTGATTTAAAATCACTTTGCTGAGGTAATCAATGAACACAAAAAACTGTTTTTGTCACAGGTTGCTAGTGACAAAGCAACCCAATGATTTCAATGTATTTCATTTTCCATTAATATAAACAGAAAAGGAAATTGAAATGTCTTCAAATGGTTTAAAAGGAAATAAAACCATCAAGTTTTTAAATAGCAGTGTTTAAAGAAGTGATATGTGATTTGGGGTGGGGTTTTTTCCAGAGTATTTTAACTGTGTGGGAGTTTATAGTGTTATATAAGTGCTGGCTAAACATCCCAAAATGTAACTATGTTCCTTCTTATGTAGGTTCCTGTATTCTGACGAGGTCCACATTGGTCCGGAGACGGTGATGACGACTCTGTATACAGCCAAGAAATATGCCCTCCCTGCCCTGGAGAGCCACTGTGTGGAGTTCCTCACTAAACACCTCAGAGCTGACAACGCCTTCATGCTTCTCACTCAGGTTACCGTCTCGCCTGCATAATTCAGCTTTTACGACGACAATACTGGGCACCTCCAGTTGCTATGTGACAATTGATTTTAAATACTAATTCAATTTATTTAAAGGTGAAACTTGACAAAAGCACCTTTTGCCACTGAAGGGTTAGTTTGTATGCCCTCAGATCTTCCTGTGAGCAGTTTCTCCTTCATAAATACTCTTGTTGAAATTCATGATAATAAAAAAGCAAGAGAATTATTCAAAAGAAGAAACAAAGAGTTGTTATCAGCATGTTCTGTTCTCGGGCAGAGTACTAGAAGCTGTTATGTGATAAAACGTGCCAAAAAGTCAGTGTTGCACATTTTATCAGCTGGGATCCACATAACCGAAGCCCTTACAGATGATAAGGCTGTTTACCTTATTTTGTGTTCACAGCAGACCATCTTCCGGCTTCTGCTGGTAGGATTAGTTTAACGTTAGTTGATCTGTTATTTTTGGGCTTTTCCTTTCCACTGCTGCCTGCTTTATTCATGTGTTTTACCCTGCAAGCATAACTCAACACAAACAACTTAAAGGTCTTTTTTATAATATTTTATTTGTCAGGTTTTTAGTCAAGCCATATAAACAAACATATGTTTATAATCAAAATAAGAATAAAAATACTAAACTTAAAAATAAAAAAGACACAAAAAAAAAAAGAAAAAGAGGGAGAAAAAAGGAGGGGGGGGGGGCTGCCAGACCACATTGTAAACAGAAAGGTTTGTAAAACCGTCACTATTAAGCACATTAATGGGCCATTCCCATCTGTACCGGGTCGACCCGGGCCGGGTAGCGTAGGTTGTTTACATTTCTGGGTGGCCTGGTATTTTTTCGGGCCAACCAAGGCTCATTCTCAGCCCTCTTGTCGAGGGGGTCTGCTTCAGGCCGACCAGGGCCAACACACCCACTGCTGACAGCAAATTCACACCTTCCATTAGAGCAAGCCTCTGATTGGTGGGTAGAATCAGCCCACATGGGCTTAAGGCAATGATGTGTGGAATCAACCGGGCCAGGCTGGGGCCGACTGGGGCTACCCGGCCCGGGCCGACCCGGTACAGATGGGAATGGCCCATTACAGATGATAGAGCAAAATTACATTAGGTATGTTTCAGCACCAGTCATTAATCCAAACCATTTCACCAGCTAGATAACCTTGTGGTGGGTTAGGAAAGGTCTCCAGCCCTCCTCAAGCTTGCTGCGAGAGCCAGTCTTATGTGGATGTAGCAGTTCCAGTTGAATGACACGTAGCATCTCTGTGAGCCAATGTCCAACTTAAATGTGTTCTTAACCCCAGCAGGTTTTTAGTAGCTTTCAATGTCATAACTCAGCTCAAGGATATTTCTGACTGAAATCTGAAAATGACTGCAATAACTCTGTTCTATTAACTTAAAACACAATAAATGGAAAAATCTACTAAGGTCATTTTCTACCTTGCTGCTTTTGGAGTCCACAATGTGCTCCAAATAAATGCAGCCTTGTGTGTAATTTAAATAGCTAGAAATGAGTGAAAAAGAGCTAAATGTTTGTTTTTGTTGTGCTCTTTATTTACAGGCGAGGTTATTTGACGAGCCTCAACTTGCCAGTCTCTGCTTGGACACTATAGACAAAAGCACTGCAGATGCAATAAACGCAGAAGGTTTTACGGACATTGACCTCGGTATGAGAATCTTCCTGTTTCCATTTTTGTTCCTCAACTGCTTTTTTTTTCTTCTTCTATAAAACACCGAAACTTTATGTGTTTGTGCATGTAGACACTTTATGTGCTGTGCTCGAGAGAGACACGCTCAGCATCAGGGAGAACCGTCTGTTTGAAGCGGTGGTGCGCTGGGCAGAGGCGGAGTGTTACAGGCAACAGCTTCCCCCGACCCCGGAGAACAAGCAGAGTGTTCTGGGCAAAGCTCTCCCACTCATCCGCTTCCCGCTCATGACTGTTGAGGAGTTTGCTGCCGGTAAGTATGCACCAAAATGTGTCATTTGGTTGTCAGGCCATAGCGACGCATTCTGACCAGTTCAGCCATTACTCGACACATTCATCGTGTTCCTGGTGTGTCCATACAACTCCAACCACAGAAACCAGTTTGATATTTTTTCTTGTGCAACAGGGCCTGCCCAGTCTGGAATATTGTTCGATCGGGAGGTGGTAAATCTGTTTTTACACTTTACAGTAAACCCCAAACCACGGGTCGACTACATTGACAGACCTCGCTGCTGCCTCAGGGGGGAGGAGTGCAGCATTAATAGATTTCAGCAGGTTGAGAGTCGATGGGGGTACAGCGGCACCAGCGATAGAATCAGGTAAGGTGATGTTTGCCAGCTGATAGTCATAATAAACTTAATGAATAATTATATTTCTGATTGTCTTTTTTCTCTTTTGTAGATTTAATGTTAACAGAAGAATTTCAATAGTGGGGTTTGGCTTGTATGGCTCAATACATGGACCCACAGACTATCAGGTCAACATCCAGGTAACGCTTAGCTTTACAGCACCGCTCTCTGTTATATTTTACACTTTTGTAGGACATCTTTGTGCAAATGGCTTTATTCTTAATTCAAACGTTATTAAAGTGAGTCATTTAAAAAGATGTTTGTTGTGTCCAACTAACAACAAATGATGATAAACGCTCCTTTCTATTCATAAACAAGCTAAAATAGGAAAGTTGTGGATCTTTTCTTTTTCATCTCTTTGCTTCCTCTTTCTGCCGTTTTCCAGATCATGGAGAGTGACAAACGCATCACACTGGGGCAGAATGACACGGGTTTCAGCTGCGACGGCACAGCTAACACCTTTCGAGTGATGTTCAAGGAGCCTGTTGAGATCCTGCCCAATGTCAGCTACACTGCATGTGCTACTTTAAAAGTTAGTGTGAGCTTTCTGTATTTAGAAACTATTCTCAGACGAATGGATTGCTTGACATGACAACGTACCTGTTTTTATGTTTACTTCTCAGGGTCCAGATTCACATTACGGCACCAAAGGGTTGAAGAAAGTGACCCAGGAGTCGTCAACAGGGACAAAGACAACGTTTCTCTTCTTTAGCTCGCCTGGAAATAACAACGGCACGTCAGTGGAGGATGGGCAGATACCTGAAATCATCTACTATATATAGACTCATCATGCTGCCATACTGGTACGTTAAACTGGGGAGACCTCAGACTACTGGGGTCACTGGACTGATAGAAATGGACATTGTGCCTCTGGACCCCTGGAATAATAATTGTGTGTTTATGTGAGTGTGGTGTGTGTAAGGATCTGTATAAAACAGTGGTGTACATATGTAATCAAGAATGTTGGAGAGTTTGTGGAGAAAATCTCAGCTATGTTGACAAAAAATGAAAGGAAAACCCTTTTTTCCCCCCAAGTTGTAAATAATCTAAAAATCCTGTTTGTTACGCGATAAAACAGCATTAGTGTGCAAAGACATTTGACATGCCAATTTATTTATGCTGAGTCGTTTGACGGTATGATTTCATATTTTTATTCACTGTGATCATTTATGTAGCACCTGTCTAAGAGTTTTGTTTTGTATCACATACATGCTCCATCGTTGGTGGTGTGCTTTTGCCAGTGCTGTAACTTATAGTTCACTCAAATGTAAAAAAAAGAAAACATGTTCTGAGACATTCATGAATAAACGAATGAGTAAATGGTCTATTTTTTAGCTTTGGGCAATAAAATGTATGAAGACTAGGGTCAGACTGGTTCTTCTGAGGACCTCTGGAGGAAGTTGGTCATGTGTTCATTCCTCTTTCTAGTCACTAGATGATGCTGCTTTCATAAAAACTCACATCTGCCCATGAATCTTAGATTTTATATTAGAAATTCAACCCACGTTTGGTGGAATGTCTCACAATAGTTGGGAATGTTTTCTGTTGGTGTTTAAAAAAAAACTAAAGTTTAACAGAAAAAAATGCCTTTGGTTGTAAATCAGTGGATTCATTATGGAATATTACAGGCCGATGTGAAAAAAATCATTGAAAATTGCAGCCAAATAACAATTTTAAAGAAAACAGGCACAGCTAAGTATAAGTATTTTTCAGATCTTATTGTAAGTTTAAAAGACCTTAATAGATTTGTTATTTACTTGACAAGGAAAGACAATTTCTACAGATGCCTGCCTCTGCAGCTCAAAAATGGAGTGCTCTTTTATTGCATAAGGTGCACATTTCCACGAGACAGACAGTGAAAACGAGGCCCTCAGACAGCTGTGAGTGGGCTTTGATGAGATGATGAATCCATGAAGGCTGTCAGGTGAGTCACCGAGACCCAACAGCTTCTCCTGCTCACTGCCCACTTAGACAAGCTTTAAAAAAGGATCCAAGAAAAACAGTTGATGCAGGGTTTTTATTCCTCCCACAACTGAAAACAGTAGAGACAAGTCAAAGACTTGATCAGACCTTTGGCCTCACCTCACCTGTGTTTCAGGGTTTTTACAGGAGGTACAAATAAAACTGGAGGGGGGCTGCATAATTTGAGCTGGTTTCTTAAAAGTATTAAACATTACCAATGTGACGTCCTAGTGTGTGTGTGTGTGTAAATGGTGAGAGACATTTCTACATAAACACTGACAGCAGGAAAAAGGATTTATGCGTCTGATGTTCTGACAACATGTGACACGATTCAGAATGAAAACATTTAATTTATTTCAGATTTATCAACAACAGCAAAGGTCCTTTAACTTAGAAAAACTGAGTCAGAGGCTGGGTTGCATCATGTCTCTTACTCAGATTTAATCTGTTTCTCATACTTTTAAACAAAAATGTCTTAATTATTTGGAATATTTGGAAAAAATCTACAGTATGTGGGTAAACCCACACATAGCTATTCTCAGCTTTATTTGATAATATAAAAAAATCATGATAAATTTTGCTTTATATATGAAGAAAAATCTACATCGAAACAGTGAATCGTAAAAGCAACGTTGTTCATTTAAGTCTCTTAAAATCAGAAAATAGATCTGTAAAATGTTTCAGAGATCTAGAAGTTTAGAATACAAAACACTTTTAAAACACTTTCAAATTCAGTGATACGTCGATGTGTTTAGTGAAATTTTATAACATTGTGTACAGTTACTGTCTTAGATTGTGAATTTTCTTAGTAAAAATTACAATCCCGATAGTTGCTATAAAATAAAGTCGTATAAATTTTTCTCTTTTTATTAAATATTATTAATGTTTATTGTATTTTAAAAATGCGCATCCCAGATTGTGTCCCAATAATAGGAATGTAAGAAAATATCAATATAGCAATATATCGCAATATTTTTTCCTGCAATATTATATCAATGTTCAAAAGCTGTGTATCGATTTTTTTGGAAGAATTTACGTGCAAACATTTGTGCATTTTCTTTTCTTTTGGTGCAAATCAAATGCCGTCCACTAGTCAGCAGTAGGGTGCAATGGAGTTTGTTTCCACCACTGAAATGTAAATCCCTCTATTATGGTTCAGATACCTCATGTTAATCGTGTTAAGTATCAGTTTGGACCATTTATTGAATTTTCCTATAGTAATTTTAGTCTTAAAAATCGCTATAATTGTCCGACTGAATGTATCGCAATATATCGTGATATATCATATCGTCTCCCCTGTATCGTGATAAGTATCGTATCGCCAGAATTTCACCAATACACATCCCTACCCAATAAGATGACAAAATGTCACAAACTGTCCAATGTGACCGTGTTAATGAAAAACACAGAAACACTCAAAGTGCATTCGATTAGTCCAGAACTGTGCTGGAAAACCTGTCCATGGTTTATCCTGACACGTCTATTCTCCACAGCTTGCTGTGACACATCCTCTGTGACTGGAGTTCATTTAAAAACATTTATGCAGAATGTTCTAGTGTGGGATCCAGCTTCAGGTGTGTTTCACAGCAACCTGCAGAAACCAAAGGAGCGTGTTTGTGCGCCTATTGTCAAACCAGTCAAGGTTATGCAGTTTGTGTGCTGACGGTGAAAGGCAGTTGGATAATTAATTACTATGTACAGGACTTTGTGGTAAACATCAATAACCCCCTCCAGCGTCAGATTCGCCGGGATATGACGTCTGTTCATGTCAGCTGTTTTATAACTTCATTCACATTACTGAAGGGACTTGGAGGACGTTGCTATTAAAGATGTTGCGTGAAGTACACCATTAACAAGTGCTGCATGGAGAAACATGATGTACAGATAATTTAAAAGTACTGTAAAAAGTACTTTACAGTAAGTATACAAAAATATGTATAAAACTACAGCCAGAGGCTCTTTTATGCAATATTAGGACTGCAGAACTGCAGTCACACGTTAGCAAGTAACACCAGAGCCAATAGATGAGCTTATGGATGGTTCTAATGGGACACAGGCTTCAACCATCGGGCTTCAACACAAGCGGTTGTTTTCTGCTTGGTCCACGTGCTCAACCAGTGTCTGTTTAATACAGCATAATGTTGTTTTGGGGCAGTAAAAAGTGCAGGGGACAAAAACTGACTTTGGAAAAAGTGGAGGGAACATGTCCCCCATGACCCCCCCCCCCCCCCAAATAAAACTACATCCATGCACACATACACACACACACACAGCTCTATAAAACACTGTAGTAACAGTTAGTAACGTGGTGTACAGTTGGGAGTCTTTTCTGTTTAAAAACTTAGTCCAGTGTTGAAAGAACACACAGACCGCTCAGACAGGCAAATGCCTTCTCAGCTTATACAAATAACTGCTGAACGGAAAAAAATGTGAAGAACTTTCTCTAAATTAAAGAAAAAGCTTCAGATTCCTGACTGAGTAATCCAAAGGTTCACGTGTCCTAGTTGGAGATACCACCAGATATAATCAGACTAACAAGCTCCTCTCAGCAGCCGAGTCCACTCTCTTTACATGGATGACCTGAGCAGCTGCATGATTAACTTATAGGCTGTGCAGCTGGATGAGCAGGGGACAAGATGCCGTCAAACCTCATCTGCTGTGGCAATTTTAACCCTCTGGAGGCAGGCGTTGCAGATTTGCAATGTTAAAACCTGCCTACCTGGTTACTCCACACATGTATTTCATAAGCATTTTTTACAGAAGTAACCCTGAAGGACTTAGCTGTCCATCCTTTTATCAAAACTTACTTTGAGCCTGAGATTAAGAAAGATCTTAATCAAGCGAACGCATCGGTGCATGGCTACTTTGTGCACATGTGTTTATGCAATGGAATAAAAATGTTGTAGATTTATGAATATTCTTGACAAATGCTTGTCTAATATTGCATCCATTCAAGCCCACATGCTAGATAAACACTCTACTGTGTGCCAAGGGCCGACTGGCCCCAGACAGCCTTAGCCCCTGCACTCTCCAACACCAGATGTAGGTCGCAGAGTGCTGCAGGGGCTGGGGGGGGGGGGGGATGTCTGTGTGTTTGTGTGTAATGGTGAGGAGGACGGAGTGCATTGTGCACACACATTTGTGTGCGCTGAGAAGGGAATCGGGGCAGAGTGATGATTGTAGTGGATGAGTTCATCACCAAGGACACGGCCCACAGCGCATGGTCTCCGTTGCTGTCACATTGTATAGTCACAAACAGGCCACATGAAGCCTGACAGCCTGGCAGACGAGACTGAGGGTATGCACTCATAGGTCTCTCACTGTGACTGCGTTGTTTTCTGTCTCACGAAATCCTACGATGCACCATCAGAGAACTAATGAAAGCATGTAGCAGGGGTCGGATTGGATGAAAACTGGCTCAGGAAAGATTCATATCCTCCTCTCTAGCAAACTGAATAAATCTTTAACAAAAATAGCGCTGTGGAGAGTTTCCTCAATGAACTAAAGTACAAGAAGCACTCCAGCTGCATTACGCTCCATTTCTAAGAGGAGTGTCATGATTCATGAATGAAGTAGAGAGAGTCAATGCTCCGTGGCTCCCAAAGGATCGGATTAACACATTGAGCTCCAGATTAGTCTTTGTAGCTGTGTGGACTTCATGTGGTCTAGTTTCTGAGGATTTCAGACTCTACTAGTTGTCCAGATGAAGAAAACAAGTTTTGTTTATTTAGGAAATCCTCAAAGGAGGTTTAGAGTATTAATTAAAAAGGAAAAGACCAAAAGAGAAAATGTGCATCCCACATTATTTTCTGGTGAAAATTATTGTTTTACTCTTTTCTTTTAAATAGATTTCTAAATACATGAAAACCTATTGGAAAAATCATATTCAGAATCTGTAAGTCACATATTTTAAAGAAGATGGATTACAACAGAGCTTAGGGCCATGAGACATGGAATATATCAGCTGATCCAACAGGAAATGCTTCACAGGTCTAAAAAAGGTAGATATATATTTCCAAAAATTCACTATTTAACAATAAACTGCAAATCTACAAATATTTTATTTTTCTTTCATTTAAAACCCAATGAAGTACAAGGATAATAATTAGAAAAATCTGCAAATCCCTGTTTTACGCCCTGTCCCTGAACACATCCCATCCCAGCGCTCTGAGATGTAGATTATTTAATCTAAACTGATCACTGTGATGATGCAGCATTCTCCACTGTGTGCCAGTTTCAGCACATCCCCCTCACATTTTACCCCAACCTCCTCCCTCCCCGTCTCCCTTATCATCACGGCTGATTGCACTGCAGAGGTCCAAATAAAATGTTAACTCTTTCTTTGCCATCACAAAACAACTTCTAAAAAGTCAGCCAGCAAAAAAATAAAAAATAAAAAAATAAAATAAAACAATAGATTTTCTATGTTTTGTGTAAATATAAAAATTGACCTAAAGGTGTTTTTTTAATTAACAGAACTCTGTAATGAGCTACATATGACACATAGCCAATGATGCCTGTTGCAGTAGTACATTAATAATGCACATATGTATATATTATCTGCTTTCTACCGTATGAACCATTGTTCCTGTGAAAGCAGCACTCCTGAAGTTCCTTTAATGTGTCACAAACATAGGGCCTTACACGGACAAGCACCATCTTACATTGGTGATCTTCTTAGTCCCTACACCCCCAGCAGGTCCCTGAGGTCCAGTGATCAAAGCCTACTGGTTGTGCAGCGCACCAGGCTAAAGACCAAAGATGCTGTGGCCCCCAGACTCTGGAACTCTCTCCCCCTGAGCCTGAGATCAGTGGACTCAGTGGTCTCCTTTAAAAAGCAGCTGAAGACTCACTTGTTCAAGCTGGCTTTTGGATGACCTTCTTCACCACTCTCTCTTTATTCTGCTCCCCCCACCTATTCCACCTTCCTCAGGATCCACTGATTTCCCTCTTTCCTGTTCACTCTCTCTCTTTCTTAACATTTTTTTAATCACAATTGCCTATTTTTGCACATTTTAAATATATATTTTCAACATTTTCTAAATGCTTTTTAATATCTTTACATTTTTTGTTGTTGTGAAGCGCCTCGTGATTTTTATCTTGAGAGGCGCTATAGAAATGATTCTTCTTCTTCTTCTTTCACTGACCACACACAAGACAAGCTGATAAAGGCAGCCTGGTTCTCATCAGAAACTTTATTTTTCACCTCTCAGAATAAGAAATAATGTTGCAGGAAAATAAATAGCTGAGAAAATAACATTAATGGTAAACAAAAACCTATCAAAACATATTTATGAACATCCTGGTTCTCTAAAGCCATGTTGACTTAAATGACTTGAAAATGATGTTCCATTGCATCGTGGTCCCAAACTCACTCTACTGAAAACCAAGCAGGTCTAATCCAATCATATTTGTGCATTAATAAAAAAAAAAGTAAAAATGCTGCACAACAAACTAAAATTAAAGGGCAGTTTTCACATATTTAAAAACCAGTCATATAACCAGATAAAACTTTTATAAAATAGTAAAATAATAGTTTAAAATGGGACAAATATCCTTTTATATTTCAAATAAATTGTCAGATTTAAAATTAGTGCAAGACCAAATTGACACTTTTTTGTGTCAGGCACAATTTATTAAGACAAGCTTTTAAATCTGTAAAACTGCCAGCGAAAGGGTCTATTGTTCTGAGTTTCTGACCAGTTCTGAAAAGATTCAGGCTTAGCTCTCAGACCAAGTTTGACTCATATATTCATTTTCCAACAATCAACAATGATCTTTGAGTGTGATGTTGCTGTCATTTGTTAGAAAAAAATAACTAAAGTAACACATTGAGGCAAATGTGCAGCCTGGTGGTCTGTGGAATGAATTTGTGGAACAGTCTGGATGAAAATTTGAAATGTTGTGTGAATATAAATCAGTTTAAAAAAAAAACAAAAAAGCCCTATTGCAAAAGTATATGGATGTAACAAAGCTTTGAGTACTCTGTACAGTGGTATTTTGATAGGTGAGGTTGGTGAGGTTTTATTTACTTTTATTCTTTTGTTTTTCATGTAAGGAGACTGTGTATGGATGGAAGATTATTTTGACATGGAGAGCAATTTATTTATAGCAATATTTACAAGTGTGTATTTTGTTGAGTCACTCAGGGTAGGATTTAATAAGCATTAGCTTCTTCCTACTCCTTTTCGAGCAGAATCTGAAAGATTTGTTCTTTTCTATATTTTGCATACTTGAGAGCTATATTTGTTTTCTTTGTTATTTTCTGGTATGTGTTGTCTGTAAATATTTCTTTTATTTCTATTTAATTTTTAATGTTCAAATAAAAATCAAATCAAACACAATGGTAACCTAATGTATGACCTGAAGCTTTTTCCTTCTTACAGGAGCCACACGAAATCGGAGTAAAAATATTTTTAAGACCTATTCAAGTGATGGACTTCGGATGAATAGCAGGGATTGAATAGGTTGAAAGCATTCCACCTTGATGGTATTTACATTCAGCAAAGTCTTCTGTAAGTATTTTATCTTCACTAAGTAGGAGTACGTTTAAAAGAATTAAAACCTGAAAAACCAAAGACACCACAGATAACCAAACTGATACAAACAGAATGAAAAAGATGGATTTTAATGATTGCCCAGGTAAATTAAAGTTTAGGCATATATCTACTCATGACGTCTTTAAAAGGTCCTAACACACACTGATTAAGACTCCTACAGGGAGTGCAGAATTATTAGGCAAATGAGTATTTTGTCCACATCATCCTCTTCATGCACGTTGTCTTACTCCAAGCTGTATAGGCTCGAAAGCCTACTACCAATTAAGCATATTAGGTGATAAGCATCTCTGTAATGAGAAGGGGTGTGGTCTATTGACATCAACACCCTATATCAGGTGTGCATAATTATTAGGCAACTTCCTTTCCTTTGGCAAAATGGGTCAAAAGAAGGACTTGACAGGCTCAGAAAAGTCAAAAATAGTGAGATATCTTGCAGAGGGATGCAGCAGTCTTAAAATTGCAACGCTTCTGAAGCGTGATCGTCGAACAATCAAGCGTTTCATTCAAAATAGTCAACAGGGTCGCAATAAGCGTGTGGACAAACCAAGGTGCAAAATAACTGCCCATGAACTGAGAAAAGTCAAACATGCAGCTGCCATGATGCCACTTGCCACCAGTTTGGCCATATTTCAGAGCTGCAACATCACTGGAGTGCCCAAAAGCACAAGGTGTGCAATACTCAGAGACATGGCCAAGGTAAGAAAGGCTGAAAGACGACCACCACTGAACAAGACACACAAGCTGAAACGTCAAGACTGGGCCAAGAAATATCTCAAGACTGATTTTTCTAAGGTTTTATGGACTGATGAAATGAGAGTGAGTCTTGATGGGCCAGATGGATGGGCCCGTGGCTGGATTGGTAAAGGGCAGAGAGCTCCAGTCCGACTCAAGACGCCAGCAAGGTGGAGGTGGAGTACTGGTTTGGGCTGGTATCATCAAAGATGAGCTTGTGGGGCCTTTTCGGGTTGAGGATGGAGTCCAGCTCAACTCCCAGTCCTACTGCCAGTTTCTGGAAGACATCTTCTTCAAGCAGTGGTACAGGAAGAAGTCTGCATCCTTCAGGAAAAACACGATTTTCATGCAGGACAATGCTCCATCACACGCGTCCAAGTACTCCACAGCGTGGCTGGCAAGAAAGAGTATAAAAGAAGACAAACTAATGACATGGTCTCCTTGTTCACCTGATCTGAACGCCATTGAGAACCTGTGGTCCATCATCAAATGTGAGATTTACAAGGAGGGAAAACAGCACACCTCTCTGAACAGTGTCTGGGAGGCTGTGGTTGCTGCTGCACGCAATGTTGATGGTGAACAGATCAAAACACTGACAGAATCCATGGATGGCAGGCTTTTGAGTGTCCTTGCAAAGAAAGGTGGCTATATTGGTCGCTGATTTGTTTTTGTATTGTTTTTGAATGTCAGAAATGTATATTTGGGAATGTGGAGATGTTATATTGGTTTCACTGGTAAAAATAAGTGAAATGGGAATATATTTGTTTTTTGTTAAGTTGCCTAATAATTATGCACAGTAATAGTCACCTGCACACACAGATATCCCCCTAATATAGCTAAAACTAAAAACAAACTAAAAACTACTTCCAAAAACATTCAGCTTTGACTTTGAGTTTTTTGGGTTCATTGAGAACATGGTTGTTGTTCAATAATAAAATTATTCCTCAAAAACACAACTTGCCTAATAATTCTGCACTCGCTGTAAAACCAAAAGGGCAAACCTCAAAATTACATTGAACTGTATTTACACAATGTTCTGAACTTTGTGTCCCTAATGTCCAACTGCATAACTCTTAATGCTATTAATTTTTAGCACTTGAATAAAATCAACAGTATTGTGCTAGAAATTGGGCTAGTTTAAAAGAAGTGAAGAAATAAGACATCATGAATAGGGAACAAATTTTGAATGTGCATCAGTCAGTTATGTCCAATATCTGTTTAAATCGGTCTAGGTCTGGAATAATTACATCAGTGCTATCCCACACAACACCAAAGTAACAGTGTGAGATTTATTCAAACCAATTACGTACAGGAAAAACAAAAAGAAAAATACAAGTTTCTCAACAAATAGTATCTCATAGGTTCATACATTTGTAATTTGATTTCTATTTTAAAAAGTATTTTTATGAATACATTTCCACTGTATGATCAGATTCACAGTAAGGTTATTCTGTTCACTATAACAAATAAAATAAATGTGTGATCTTTTGACGTAAAAAACGAACAAACAAAAGAAAATACAGTATGTGAAATATTTCATAGAATTTTTCTTTTAAAAATGTGCAGGGATCAATTCCAGTACTGAAAACCTAACATTTCTTCTCAAAACCTAGGAGTGAGCAACAAGAGAAAATACAAGAAAATTGTTTATTTCTTTCATCAAATGTATTTGCTAAGACTATTTAGAAGAATGAAAAATTATTTTTACTCACTGCTCAGCTATACATTTGTGAACAGGTGTCAAAAATACTTTTGGAGATCAGTAGCGGTCATATTGTGGTCTCTGATAATAGGAGTTGTATGCCTGATTGGAACTCGGAGGCCCAGATTGATATCCACTTCCATGCCCCCAGTGTCTGTCTCTGTCCTGCCACCCACGGTGGTTCCCGCGCCAACCCTGGTCTCTTTGTCCTCGACGGTCCTGGTACCTTAGGGAACAAAATGTAGAAAATAATTGTGAATACATTTGTACCATCTTCAAATGATTATACTTCACGCGCAATCAAAAAACAACACCGAATGCATCCTTTTACCTACCAAATCATGCATCGGTGAATTTTGCTGTGTTCATTTATTTTAACTTTCAATCCTGTGTAGCTACTCCTTTTGTAGCTATTGTAGTTAATGTGGTAATAATGTATTTTGTATAAAAGTCAAGTCAATTAAACATCAAACAGTCAGATTTACTAGAAACTATTCAAATTTTCATGCATTAAACAAGCACTGTGATTTTCCTCTTGCTGTGTATCCTCTTGGTCAAAAGCAGACTTGACAACCAAACCTTTGAGGACGATTTAGAATCAAGCAATTAAGATTTTGATTATAAAGCCCTTCAAGAACACAGTGTTGTCGTTTGTGTCTTGTCCTAATGTGTTTAAAATTTTACTTTGATTTGATCTTTTAAAAAAACAATAATTTATGTAGCTAAAGGCACATCTGGGAACGTGCATTTGATAATACTTAACACATGTCTCAATAAAAATACATATAGCATTTCCATTAGTGTATTTTTTTATCTTTAAAGAAGCTTTATTATAATTCCACCAAACATAGTTGACAGAAATTATTTCAGTGCTTCACAGTAACCTCCAGAGACCTTGGTACAAAACACTAACTACCTGTTGTCTCTGCCTCTTTGGTTTCCTCCTCCTCGCCTCCTCCAATCCTCCACAATGGGAGGGGGGTCAGCAGGACGGCTCACATACTGCTGATATTCCTGATCCTCCGCTGAAAATCTCTGAGAGAACATATCTTCGTAGCTCTGTACATTTTCTGAAGTCTCAGTCATTCTGTGGACACAGGGGAAACCTCAGTAAAGCAGCAAAGCTAGCCGGACATCTGCTAACGCTGCAACATCCTTTCTGCTCGTTTTAAATCATTCCGACCGTAACTGGCTTGTATTTAATTACACTGTTACAATAAAAACGATAGAAAAGCACAACAGATACATTTAAGTAGCAATAATTGAAAACAAACCTTTGAACGAAACGAACGTTGTCAGTTTTAGCTACACTGCAACACGAATTCGACTATTAGAACGTCACTGAAGTGCTTCCCCGGAAACACAGAGTTCAAACCTCATTGGTTCCGCGAACACGCGCACCTGTCCATGATAATTGACGGCTGTGTGTGTGTGTGTTTTAAAAAACTTATCGAGATCTTTATGGGTAAAAATAGCCATAAACTTTAAGCCGAGTCAAAAGGTTGTATTTTGATACATAGATAATTATGATAGAAAAATAATATTTAGTGCCGCAACTAATTTCACTAATTGTTAGAAAGCGTCAAGGCTTGAAGGTCAACACACAACCACTTATAACATGTAAGTGGACCTTATTTTGTAATCACCTTTAAAATTATTTTAACCGTACATGTTGTTACTTTGTTTTAGGCTAAAGCATTGTATGGTGTCGCTACCGGAGTTCGGGCTGTGAGACGGAAACCGCAGACAGCACCGCAGATACCACAGGTTTTAAAAAGAGTGGGTGGCTCTGGGAGAAGCAGGTGGAAGCCGCTCCGTGTCGCTGCTGCAGCTGCCCTTCATTTGAAACACAACCCCGTTGGGGAGAAAGAAACTCCGGGTACACAGTAAAGAAGGAAAATCCAAACGTCAGCTTAATTTATTATTGCCGATTGTTGGAGGACACCGAGGAGGAAATATTCCCACGTGGAATTTGTACACACGCGCGTGAGGCGAAGGAGCTACGGGGGTAAACTTCCTGACTTGAACGTGATTCTGTAAGAACGAGCTTGACAACCCGGAGAATCGAGTTTACGAAGTGCTCTCATATTTCATTTCTCTCTCGGCGGCACAGGTCTTCTCCGGAGCTGGAACAGGCGGTTATGAACTCTACTGGCCACTGATCACCTGGGGACTTTATCTGCGCTGTAAAGCACAATTTCTTCAACAATCAATATTTCCTAGAAATAAAAGGAGTTGTACCTCAGGTCCGCGGCAATGGGGTAAGTAATCCGTAGCGCTGCTCATATCTGCTGAGATGTGTCTGCTCGGTCAAATAAATCAGAATATTCCAGATCTCTGAGTAGATTTAACTGTAGTAGTAATTATGTCTGATTTCATGCGCTTGTCTGTGCGTGAGGAAAACCCGTTTAGATTATACTGACTGTTCTCTCAGTGATATATTCCATCTAAATGTGTGAAAATGCTTGATGATCTAGTCAAATTATGACTTTGAGTGTAATTTATGAGCAGGATTCCTAACCCAACCGTTTGACTTCTCATGGAGTTTTCGTTATATGTGCAAATATAGCTCTGTGAGGGTTCTGATGGAGGTGTCAGAGTCAACACTGCCCACTAATAAGGAGTGTGTGTGTGTGTGTGTGTGTGTTTGTGTGTGTGTGTGTGTGTGTGTGTGTGTGTGTGTGTGTGTGTGTGTGTGTGTGTGTGTTTCCACGGGGCTGGAGGTAGTGGTGTGTACTACTGTGGTTTACAGGGAACGTTGCATTATTTTGCACCCACAGTTTACTGTGGTTTGAGTGTTGATTCTGTAGATCATTGTTATGCAATCACCAGCTCTCACACACATGCATACTCTACTTAGTTTTCTGTTTTCCGTTGCCAGCTTCTATGTATTTTACATTTTTTCTTAGTTTCCACTTGAAATAAATATTTATTTTAAATAATTCACACAGTGGATTACTTTTCAACATAAACAACTCTCAATATCACTGAAATTATGAGGCAAACTGTAAATTATGTAGCATTAATGGTCTCTAATAACAGTTAATAAAGGGCCACCCACTTGCAGAATGGTGGGATTAAACTTGATTATTGTGTTTTCATGTTTATTTGAACCAGTTTCACAGTCCACTCCCTTTTAGAAGTTTGACATAGTCAGCGAACCGGTTTGAAAAGAGTAGATCTTGTTGTGTCATGAAACTGGTTCAGTGGACCAGCAGGAGCAGGCATCCAGGGCCAAGACAGGAGTTCACACCTACTGACGGAAAAACAAAAACAAGTTTTTATTTTTCCAGTTCTGTAGTTTCAGTCAGTGACAGCTGATTGTATCACTTGACAGCTGAACACGTTCTGGGAGGAGAAAACGATCACCTCTTTGGAATTTTTGGATCTATCAAACTGGTAGAATTTTCAGACATATACGTAATAACTGCTGTTTGGTCCAGATTTTGGTTTTGTGCAAATGACATTTTAAAACCCCATTACAACATCTGAGAAGATTAAAAAAACTTTTTAAACCTGGCTGCCCTTTATTTGTTTAAGTAGTTATCTAAAATGGAGGGTTATGGCTTAATTCCTGATAACATGTCTTATATTTTATGTCCTGATTAATCAAAGGATGAAATTTATTAGACAAAATACAAACTAATCTGAGTGTGATGCTTCATAAATGTTAGACTGAAGTTAAAGTTGGACAGAACACTTTGTAACCTAGTTCATCCAAACAAATGGAAACGCATGTTTATCTTTATAAGAAAAAGAAAACCGTATATTTTGGGTGTTGACCGAAAGAACGAGATCGCAGAAACAAGCGGCCGAAATAAGTTTTCTCTGCAGGGTGTCTGGGCTCTCCCAGAAACGGGGTGAGAAGCTCGGTCATCTGGGAGAAGCTTGGAATAGATGCGCTGCTCCTTCACATCAATAGGAGGCTGTTGAGGTGGCTTGGGCATCTGATGCCTCCTGGACGCCTCCCTGGTGAGGTTTTCTGAGCATGCCCAACCAGGAGGAGACCTAAAGAAAGGCAGAGGACACGCTGGAGGGACTATGTCTCTAGGCTGGCCAGGGAACACCTTAGGATTCCCCCGGAAGAGCTGTCCCAAGTGGCTGGGGAGAGGGAAGTCTGGGCCTCCTTGCTTAGGCTGCAATCAATCAATCAATCAATCAATCAATCAATCAATCAATCAATCAATCAATCAACTTTTATTTATATAGCACTTTATCCTACAATACATGCAACTCAAAGTGCTTAACAAATTAAAAAGGCCCCTCATACCCACATTCCCTCCCATCCCCAGAATTTTAAAAACAGTCTGACAATAAAAAACCCTTCACAACACTCATCCGCCGGCACACACACACACACACACACACACATGCCCCCTTCCCCATGGTAAAAAACACGATTGACTGAGATCAGATGAGCCAGACCAACTAAGATAAGGATAAGGAAACACCATCAGGGGAGCCATCCGCCCCGGCAGCAGTAGATCCACAGCAGCAGCCGAGACACTGGCACAGGGCGCCCAGGGCAGGGAGGGCAGAGACCCCCAACCTCCACCTAGGCACACCTGGAAAGCACCCAGGCCACCACAGCCGACCACCGCCGCTGGGGCAGTGGGCTCCCACAAAGGAAGCACTGGAAAAAGGTTAAATTAAGGTTAAAATATAAAATCAAAAGAGCTAAAATTAGAATTGTAATATAAAAAGTTACATAGATATTAAAATAATGTTGATCATAAATCATGGTAAAAACAGTTTAAAAAGCATGTATAAAGAAAGAATACATTAAATAAATAAAAAAATTGTTATTTATCTAAGTAATTAAATAATTTAAAAAGTGATAGTAATCAGTTAAAAGCTAAGCTAAAAAGATGAGTCTTGAGCCTGTTTCTAAAAACATGAACATTCTCAGCAGCCCTGAGGTCCCCTGGCAGCTCGTTCCAGAGGCGAGGACCGTAGTACTGGAAGGACGCCTTGCCGTGAATATGTGTCCTGACTTTAGGGATGACAAGGAGACGGCTGCCAGAGGAGCGCAGAGACCGCGTGGGTTCATACGGTAAAAGCAGTTCTGAAAGATAAGAAGGCCCAAGACCATTAAGACACTTAAAAACCGTTAAAAGTATTTTGAAATCGATCCTATCGAAACATTCGGGGAGCCAATGCAGTGATTCTAAAACTGGAGTAATGTAGCTCCCGCCTCCTGGTCTTCATCAGGACATGTGGTGCTGAGTTTTGTAATAGTTATAAACCTGAAATCCTCTTTTTAGGAAGACCAGAAAGCAGGGCATTGCAGTAGTCTATTCTACTGGTGATGAAATCATGCATCAGCGTCTCCGTATTGGCCCGAGAGAGAATGGGGCGGACTCTGGCGATGTTCTTTAGATGATAAAAACCTATTTTGGGGATATTTTTAATATGATGGATAAAAGTCAGCTCAGAGTCAAAGATGACACCCAGGTTCTTCACTTGTGAAGATGGATTAAGAGACAGTGAGGTTCTCTAAATCAGAGACAGACAGGACACGTCCTACGATTAGGCTTAAGGTCCTCTCTCCTGTCAGGGCAGCCAAAAGACTCACTGCCATGTCGCAGGACCTCACCAATGAGTGTTAAGCCTTTAGATTTCATTCTCTGGCCAGCCAGGAGATTAGCATCTATCGCTGCGTTAGGACTGCTCTCGGCGTAGCTTACTTTAAATGGCAATATGCTGATTGTATCGCCGGCCATGTGACCGCTTATTCTGTAAAGATGGAGCTTTGGCCCATCTAAGATTTGTTTTGGAGGGGTCCCACAAACACAGAGCTTAAGCTGCAAAATGCGACCCAACTCCGGATAACCAGACTAGGATGGATGGACAGTATAGTCCAACTTTGATTGCGTTCTGTCTTGCTCTAGATGCATTATGAACCCACACTCAATGCTCCTTCACCCGTACCTAAAGTTGGAACAGTTGTCTGGATAACCAGCAACTTTTGCCAAAGTCTGTATTGATTTATGCTTCTGGAGGCTGCACCAGCAATCTCCTTGTCCGAATTGAAAACATCACAAAAGTATTTCATTTATTTGTTAAAAAAAATAAAAGAATATTTGTCATTTTTTTAAACTACTAAATTGTTAGAAATCTTTTTTTATTTACTGAATTATTTTTGATTCTGTGAACGTTTCTATAATCTCATGTCAGATACATGAGACATGTCAGTGTAATCCAGTTCCTTCTGATTACAAACTGATAATGCTGCAATGTTGTCCTGCTGAAGGGTTGGGTCAGTGCTGATAAGGTGTGTGTTTGTGTGTGAGGGCTTTTATGTCACTGCGTCCTCCCTGACACTCTTGGTTCTTAAATAGAGTGGTAGATTACTCATAAGTCACATCACACACATTTACACCAGTCCTCATCATTGTCTCTGTATTATTACTGCTTGATTATAGTCTGGCAGTCCTCTGGTCACCTCTTAACTACTTTTCTGTATTATGCAATTCCTACAAGACCTATTCATGACAAACTGAATAATTTGGATATATATGCAATGTGCTCATGCCAAGTTGTGTGATTCAAAGCAGCTGAGTGTTAAAAATGCAAGAACATTTCTTTTGCAACAGCGGGAAAATGAAATGATAGGAATTGTATTTGAAGTACCATTTTGCAGCTTAAGCTCTGTGTTTGTGGGACCCCTCCAAAACAAGAACTTAGATGGGCCGAAGCCCCATCTTTACAGAATAAGCGGTCCCATGGCTGGCGATACAATCAGCATATTGCTATTTAAAGTAAGCTATGCTGAGAGCAGTCCTAACGCAGCGATAGATGCTAATCTCCTGGCTGGCCAGAGAATGAAATCTAAAGGCTTAACACTCATTGGTGAGGTCCTGCGACATGGCAGTGAGTCTTTTGGCTGCCCTGACAGGAGAGAGGACCTAAGCCTAATCATAGGACGTGTCCTGTCTGTCTCTGATTTAGAGAACCTTGCTGAGGACTGGTAAAGAAGAAAGAAGCGGGTTGAAGGATGATTTGTAAATGAAAGGCGACAGACTGCTGGTGGATTGAACTTGTCCTTACCAGATGGTTGAGGCCCAGAAGGCCATCTGCTGTCACACTGGGTTTCTGTGGACACTTCCTCACTTCCTTTTCCTTAGATCTCTCAGATTAAGTTTGGCTCTTCATCTCACCTCAGTGTAGAGGAGGGGGGAGGTGTGTGTGTGTGTGGGTGTGTGTGTGTGGGTGGGTGGGGTGGCCTTCTGCCTGTTTAGGATACATTATGATGCCAAAA